TCTTTTTGCTTATGTGGTGCTGAGGAATCGAACCCAGGGCCTTGAGCATGCAAGGCAAGCGCTCTACCACTGAGCCACCTTCCCATCCCCCAGAGTATAGTTTTTAAATGAGCTTAAGTCTGAATACTTACAGTGGGTAGACAGCCTCATGAGTACAGTGCACTGTGGTAATATAGTCAGGACTTGGGTTGTAGAGCATCGTATACCAATCAGAAAGCATCAATACTCGACACGAACGGATATGAAGAACGCCAACTGGATCACTCACAAGTAAGGTGATGATGGCGGCCATGCCACACTCAAATAATGCAGTGATGTGCTGGAGAAGCGCACTGGAGCTAGAGAAGCACAGGGAAGGGGCACCACCGCCAGGAAGAAGTCAGTATTCAACTAGCTCTAGTAAAAAAAACATGTATATATTTTTTAAAAAAACCCTAAAACTAAAGTTTTCTAAGTAGATCAGAAAAGCATAATCTTATTCTCTAAAAAGGAATACTCGTTTCAGAAAACCAGTATTATTTTAAAATGAAACAGAAGAGCAGAAATTTTTAACTTCATTGTACTGCCGAAGTCTTATTAAAATGTCTTAAAGTTATCTATCTGTAAATCATATTTATTTATTTATTTATTTATTTTTGGGTCGGGTCGTGGGGCCTGAATTCTTGGCCTGGGCGCTGTCCCTTAGCTCTTCAGCTCAAGGCTAGTGCTCTACCACTTGAGCCACAGCGCCACTTCCAGCTTTTTTTCCCCCTGCTTATGTGGTGCTGAGGAATCAAACCTAGGGCCTCATGCATGCAAGGCAAGTGCTCTACCACCTTCCCAACCCAATCATTTTTAATTATCTTGATAGAAGGAAAAATTCTGAGAAGTGTGAGGAACTAAAAGCAGTATGACAGAAACAAAGTTGGAACTGGACTCTCCATTCCCAGTAGCATCCTTATAACTTTCATATCTAAGAGAGGTACTGGTGGCTCATGCCTATAATCCCACCTATTCAAGAGGCTGAGCTCTGAGAATTGCGGTTCAAAGCCAGCCTAGGCAAAAATGTTTCTGAGACTCTTATCTCCAACTAAGTGTCTGAAAATGAGACCGAGAACTGTGGTTCAAAGTGGCAGAGTACCAACCTTGAGCAGGGAGAGCACTCAAGCCCTAAGGTCACAACGAACCTTTAGATCTAGCCTCAACATGTCTTTCGGACTCTCTTTATATTGTATTCCTTTTATCTGCAGCCTAGACTCTGTCCAATTCAGACCACAGTTGTTACACATACATCTCATTATTTATGCTGTTTTTTCCTGCCTAAAAGTTATTTCATTAAAATTATTTTCAGATCTCCCCAGGCACAATGTGTCTACATTCTTCATGACCTAAAAGCATTCTATCTATAAAGCCCTGGGTTCTACTCCCAGCATGAAAATGGATAATAAATGGTAATTAGTCCAACACCACTCCATGTAGACACGTTCATAAATGTCCATGCTCACCTCTTTTTCCCTGAGTACCATTCAATGAAGAACCAATGTAAAATAAGAGGCAGCATAGCCATAAATCCAAGATAGAGCCAATCATAGAGCTCTGGAGACCCTGTACAAGGCTGACAGTACTTCTGTGCATTTGTCCTCTGTCCTCTGGGGCACACCTACAAGATACAAAAAATATTTTATAGAGAGAGAGATTATAGTATTAACTCTCCTCCAATGTGATTCTGTAAGACATACTATTTTAAACATTTAAATTTGTATATATAGCTTTTAGAATAAAAAAAAGGGGGGACCTGGTATGGGAGTCCACGTTAGTAATCCCAGCTAGTGGGTGAGGGGAGGGATCAGGATCTTGGCTCAAAGTATTGGTAGGGGTGAGGTAAGGGGATGTTATTAGTGAGACAACTAGCTCAACAAACAAGCTAGACTATGCAATGGAGCACACTGATAATCCCAGCTCACAGGAGTTGCAGATAAGGGGATCACAGTTTGTGACTAGGTCTGGGCAAAAATTACAAGATCCTATTCAGAAAATATGTGAATAAGAACCTGGAGCCTGGTGAAGTAGCAGAGTGCCTGCTAGAAAGCACATGGCCTGAGTTCAAACTCTCGTACTCCAAAAGAAGAAAAATCTACTTTGTTTATAAAATGATCATAAAATATTCTTAGAAGGAACATTTTTAAAGTATTATATTTATTTAGTTAAAAGGGTTAAGGAACATCTAATAAAAAAATTACTTGGTAACATTACATAAAAAAATTATACAGCCAGGCTCATGTCTGTAAGCCTACCTAAGGATTGAAGCTAGCCTGGAGATTCTTATCTCCAATTAACCAGCAAAAAGAAGGATGTGTGGGTATGGTTCAAGGGGGAAAACATCAACCTTGAGCAAAAAAGCCAAGTGAGAGCCCAGAGTTCAAATCCCAATACTGATACAAAAAAATAAATAAAATGAATAAAGACATAAATATGAATAGCGCATTAATGAATGAATGAGTTCTAGAGTATTAATATTAACTTCTATACAAGGCACTATGCTAAATAATTTGAAAAATTACTACAAAATTATAAAATACTTTAAAATATTCAGCTGTGAAATCAAGAGGTAACATTTATCAATATAACAATACAAAGATTCTATTAATGTCTCCATACTGTTTTATAAATTGCGTATATTTAAAAAGAATTCTATATGTGAAAATATTTCAAAAGCAAATAAATACAAGAAATGAAATAACATACAAACAAGAAACTTACCCCACATTCACCATAGATTTCAGTTGAGCCATTTTTAAATAATAGGGTCTTCCCACAATAAAGTCCAAGGCATGCTGGTTGGATATCGACAGCTTTTTAAAAACAAATGCCAGTAAAGTAACATCTTTTGATTATTAAAAAAAATATGATAATAGCTGAAGCACTTTGCAGAAGTATCTCGACAATTTCAGTTTTTAAATGATCTATGTATTATTCAAAAACTTTGATGCATTAGTTTTAAATTTCTTCTTTCACGCTGTGACACTAATAAGCACTGTTACACTCGAAACTTGCTGATAATTTAGTGTGCCTTACCATGAACTTCCTCAACCAGCAGAGCAGGTTAAATCCCCAAAACTAATAGTCCAACCCAGTGTGTCTTCAATAGACCACCAATAAAGGTGTATTGTGCCCAGAGAGAACATTAAGCACACAAACAACCTATTGCCACTTTTGTTCTTAACAGAACTCAGTCATAACAGAGAAACTGAAATGTTGTAGTTTCAGAAGAGGTCAGGCCTTTAACCAATTCATCTTTATAAAAGCACTGTCCTAGCATTTGGTCACTTCTGTTGAGGGCAGGTGGAAGTTAAATCAGGGCTGTCACTGATCATATTTGGGAACCACTATTTTAGAATCAATTCCTTAACCTTAAGGGTTACAACAGTTCTTTTTTTATACAAAGGAGGGATTTGGGAAGCGCCTCAAGACCCTAAAGATCATCCTGGACTTCATCCATAGGAGAAATTACTGGGAATGATTTTCAGCAGTGATACTTGATTCCTGTCCTTCACTGATTCACTGGTTCTTAACATGCACTGATGGAGGACAGTCTCTGCCCTCTAAGACCCTACCGACTAAAGTAGAACAGACCTAAAACCACTGGGGTCTAAATGTGAATTTAGAAGAGGTATGCATTTTATGACTATGAATAATGAACGATCTCTCAACTGTTTCACAAATCTGCAGCCTGTCTGGTCCCCAGGGCCCTTTCTCCTTTCAACTCCCAAGAGTTGATCTCTTTTTCCCTGTGTATGCTGCTGAGAGGAAAACAGAAAATCTAAAATGCCTCAGGCTTAGTATTTTCATTGACTATGTTGGGGTGGTTTCTTTTCTGTTAATGGCACAGGCTTCTTGATGTCGGAACTTATCTTTGAAACCAATTTTATCTCAGTGTGCTAAACATATGAAAGCAAGCAGCCTTTCAGATTTTTTTTGGCAGAAATTAAGGCGCTAGAAACTTCTGCAAGGGCTTTCTACCTAATAGATGCTTAATTCATCTGAATGTAAATTTGAGTTGTTGTTTTTCAAAAACCCAAGGCCTGTGACTTGGTCACAGTAACTGCAGCTATCCAATCTACCCAAGAAAACCCTGGCTCCAAAGGCCCATCTGCTTTCATTTCCTTCAGTGAGGCACGGCTTTCCTTGCTCTTGCGTTCCCTCCTCTTTTCTGCAATGGTCTCGTCCCATCGTGAAGGCCCCGCGGAAGCTGGACCGCAAGCCGCACCATCAGCCTGTTTCCTTCTCCGTCCGCACTAACGCGGCTCCGCGCAGGCGCCCTCCGCGCGAACCTCCAGACCCAGGTGACACTGGCACACCACACTGGCTCGGCCTCCCCTGCGCCCGGCTGCAGTCCACGGCCCGCCCCGGGACGGCCGGAGCCCCAGAGCGCCGCACCCACGGCCGGATCAACCTTGACGCTTCCGGCAACCTCGACGACCACTCACCCATTGGGCGCTCCTAGGCTTCACTCCAGAAGCTCAGGAACCAACGGACCCGACGGTCCTGCCCGGACATCCGGGCCACAGCGGCCTTCGCGGCTCCGCCTCCCAGTAACCAGGACGACTGCTCTGAAGCCCCGCCCCTGCCTCTCGGTCTTGGTTCTGAAGCTCCGCCTCCACTTCCTGGTTTAGGCTCTGAAGCTCCGCCTTGCTCCCTAAACTGGGCATCATAGCCCCGCCCCCGCCGCTCGGTCTAGACTCTGAAGCTCCGCCCCACTGCCTGGTCTCGGCCTGGAGACCCCGCTCAGAGGCCCCGCCCCCGCTCGTTGTCTCAGCTTGGAGGCCACACCCCCGCTCGTCGTCACGGATTGGAGGCCCGGCCCCCGCTAGTTGTCTAGGCTTGGAGGTCCCGCCCCCTCCGTCGTTGCGGCTTGGAAGCCCCGCCCCCCTCGTCATCACGGCTTGGAGGCCCCGCCCCCGCTCATCACGGCTTGGAGGTCCCGCCTCCGAGCTGCCACGCTCTCACCCGCCTCCAGTGGGTTTCGGCGCTGATCCGGGTCTTGGAGCGAGCACCATCACAGAGTCACTGTCCGCCGAGAATGGAGAGCGTGCTGGCAGTGCCCCGGCTGCCCCCACACGACCCGGGGACGCCCGCGCTGTCCGTGGTGGACATGCACACGGGCGGCGAGCCCCTGCGCGTGGTGCTGGCCGGGTGTCCGGAGCTGGTCGGGCCCACGCTGCTGGCCAAGCGGCGCTACATGCGGCAGCACCTCGACTTCGTGAGGCGCAGGCTTATGTTGGAGCCCCGGGGCCACCGGGACATGTACGGGGCGGTCCTGGTGCGCAGCGAGCTGCCCGACGCGCACCTGGGCGTCTTATTCCTGCACAACGAGGGCTACAGCTCCATGTGCGGCCACGCGGTGCTGGCTCTGGGCCGCCTGGCTCTGGACTTCGGGCTGCTGCCCGCGCCCCCCGCCGGAGCGCGCGAGGCCCGCGTCAACATCCACTGTCCCTGCGGGCTGGTGACCGCCTTCGTGGCCTGCGAGGATGGCCGCAGCTGCGGCCCAGTGCGCTTCCACAGCGTCCCGGCCTTCGTGCTGGCCTCAGGTAACCCGAGGACCCTACAAGACCCCAGGGCAGGGGGGCGCCACCCGGGACTCGGCAAGCCTAGCTAACCTCGGTGCTGGTGCCAATTCCACCCTTCCAACCCATCTCGCATGCGCTTACTAACGATTGACAGGGTAATTTCGAATCACTGCAAGCTTGTGTGAGCCGCTTACCTCTGCAGATTGGGTGCCTGCAATTCGATGATCTTCCACTTCTATCCAACCGCTTGAGGAAAGCCTTGGACGATTAAGAATTGCGCGTGCCCCTTACTCAGCGCCTCATGCTGCCCTGTCAGGCATTCCTGGAGATGACACAGTGACATAAAGCAAGGTACACTACTAAGGTAAAGTTAAGCACCAAGGACAGCCAGCGTACCAAATTTCCAAGCAGACTCAGAATATGCTTGGTAAACTCCTAACAAGTTTCTAAACATGCCTTTTCCTTTTCCTTTCCACTGGATGTGGTGACTTCAGATTCGTCTGGCTTGGATTCCAGATGGCATTTGTCAGACTTAGATTAACCAACCCAGGCAGCTTAAACACACATTGATGAAGAATACTGGTGAGGGAGTTAATGCTTTCTCCTTTAGGAGAGATTGGTGTTACATCCAGATTGGCACTTGAATGAATTTGTGTTGAAGATTGCATCTGGAAATCCTCAATAGTTTGCCTAGCAGGTGGCTTCCCCTGAGGCAGCCCCAGTAGGTGATGGAGGCACTTGATTTTGTTGGAATTGATCATGGGTGGTTTCGTAGCCCTGCGTGGCTAAGGGCAAGGACAGCCAGTACCCTGGAGGAACATAGTTCCTGAGAGCATTTCTGTGTGATAGCACACACAGTATGTGTTGGGCGCGGCCACTCTGAGTATTAAGAAAGTGCACTGTTGTATTCTCTACTTTAAAAAAAATGTTATGCCTAGACAATGCTATTCCGGTTTACTGCTCTGCCCACTCCCATCCTGGTGACCCTGGCAATTAAGTTTCTAGATCAGAGTATGAAAAGTGAGAATGACAGCAGGATCCACCTTGAGAGTGCAGAGTTCTCCACCCAACCTGCTAACGTGCAAACTCCTTTGTTGCATTCATCCAGTCTAAGTGTCTAGAACTGCAGGTAGGCAATGGATATTTGTTGAGGAATGAAATTTGGAAAACATGCTGACTGGCAAATGTAGATATCTGGTCCTCTTGACAACACTATTGCTGTTGAAGATGAAACTAATATTAACTAATATGAAACTAATGTTAACTTTTGTTTATGACAGGCACATCCCACATATCACATGGATTCTCTAAACAACTCTTCTAGGGAAATAGCAGTTCCATTTTACATTGAAGCCACATGTCAGAATCAGGATCTGAACCCAGGCTTATCAGAATGCCTCTCTCTCTCATCCTTCAGATTTTTTTCTTTTAGCTTAAGGAGATATATGTCAATTTTCTGGAAAACAACTAAAGTACTACAACTTATTCATGCATATGGTATATTCAAAAACTAGCATTTTTTTTGGTTGGTTGTGGGACTTGAACTCCGGGCTTGGGCTCTGTCCCTGCACTCTTCAGCTTGAGCCACAGTGCCACTTCTGGTTTTCTAGTGGTTTATTGGAGATAAGAGTCTCACGGACTTTCCTGCCCAGGCTGGCTTTGAACTGTGATCCTCAGATCTCAGCCTTCTGATAGCTAGGATTACAGGTGTGAGCCACTGACACTGGGTTCAACTAGTTATTTCTTGTTCAACTAACTCCAAGAAAATAAAACTTTTATTCACTCTTGTGCTTTTTACATGTTCCAGCATAATCAGCATATAAAAGTTGCTCAATAAATCTCATGTGAAGTAAGTCAAATTAAAATTCCAGCAGTAAGCTTATACTAGAATAAAAGGGAAAGCCTTAGAATTTGGATTGAGTTCTATGGACATACAAGTTTCATACTTCAATGGAAAGAGTTTGGGCTTTGAATTACCTGATCCTGAGTTTGACTCCAAGCTCTGCCACTTGTTTGGTGGATAACTGAAAATAATTAACTACTTCTGAGGGCTGTAGTCATTAATGAGCCTATATATATAATATACCTAAAATATAGGCTGTAGTCACATCTGAAAAAAGTATCTTAATTTTCAATGTAAGTAATTTTGTGTGGGCTGAAATAAGGGGGCATCTGTTCCATTCTAAAGAGAGGGAAACAGAAACTCATGGAGGTACAATATCCAGAATTCAAGCCCACCCCAAGAAAGTGTCCAATATTTTAGAAAGAATGGGTTAGGGAAATGATTGTCAGCTCAGTGATTCCTTCGGTAGAGCCAGCTGCCCTACTCCTCTGGCCAGGATTGGCAGCCAATTCTCTGTTTAAATAGCACTGAGTCAGAGGAGACAAATGGACAGAGCCACAACCAGTCGCCTATTTCCTCTGATGATGCCATTTGGCCTTGGGTTCCCATGTTCCAGCAGTCCTGTGCTTCTGTCATTTCTTCTTTCCCTTCATTCAACCTGCTTTTCATTTTGCGTAGCATCAAAACAGACACTGTTGATTCAGTGTTGTAAGGTCTCATGCATGTGTGACTGCTTTGATTGTAAACCTGGTCTACTTTGACACAAAGTAGAAGAAGCTTCTGTAGACGACTCTGTAACCCATGGCATATTGCTATTGTTTTATGACACAGTGTGAAAACTCATACACCAAAATGACTTTCTCAAATGGAGGCCTCACTCTGCCCTGCTGGGTGACTTAGTTCATTTTTCCATGTCTGTCCCCTTATACGAGCAAATGTTTCTGAAATGTGTCCATGCTTTGGAGAGAAAGGCCCTTTAGCCTCATCTTGTTCTCTGGCTAGGCTACTTCAAGTGGCCCTGCCCTCTCTCCCTTTTTCCCCCCTCCTGGCTGGCTGGCTCTGCACAGCATTTCACCCTCCTGTGGTGCTGTGTGTGCCCCCAGGACCTTTGGCCTCCTCACTTCAAAGTCCAAAGGGAATGTGATGACTGGTAGAAACTGGTAGAACTATTTATTCCTTCAGTATGCTCCTTTACTAACAAAATGTGTTTCCCTTGAGAACTTAGGTTTCCTTATTAACTTAAGAAATTCCTGCCTCTTCTCTTGCCATCTGCTTCACCTCCCCTCCCCCTGAAGTAGTGACCACTTGACCACCTTGAAATGGGAAAGAGGAAGAGAAGAAAACATTAGAAGGGGTAAAACCAGATGTAATGTCCCCAAATATTACCCAACCCTCTTGCTTTGGAAACATGGATAAAGGATTTCAAACAACCCACCTTTGGGTGAAACTTCAGGTATGTTGACAACTTAAGAGTGCTTAAAACTCTGAACAAAATGATATACTGTGCAGATCAGCTATTCCACAATGGCTCCATTTGCCTGGAGGAAAGTTTAAGATGAAAACATGTAAACTAAATGTTTGCACATAATTTATATAGAAAAATCTTTTCTTAAAGTTTGACACGATAGCTGAAGATAACCGATTTGTGAAAAGGATTAACATCCTCAGTGTTTAAAACCAACTTTAGTATATTTTCCTCCATGTGCTCACAGATGTCCAATGTTTTCCCTCTCTTAGCCTCTATGATGTTTCCTACAAAATTAACACATGGTAGAGGAATATACGGCATTCAGATGTCTTATACTTTATGCAAATACTATCCAGTTAAAATAGAAAGAGGCCTCTAGCTATCATTTGCCTGTTTACTCAATTTGAAAATAGACATCTGCCTATGTCTTTTTTATGATAAGAAAGGTTCAATGACTCCTTTTGTTTCTAGAAACAGACCTATTAAAATGCTGTGGTTTTTTTTTTTTTTGCTCAAATACTAAAACCCAAATTTGTTTTCAAACACCTTTTTCAGATCTCACGGTGGATGTTCCTGGACATGGAAAGTTGGTAGTAGACATTGCATATGGTGGAGCGTTTTATGCATTTGTCAGCGCAGAAAAGTTAGGACTTGATGTGTGTTCTGCAAAGACAAGGGACCTTGTGGATGCAGCTAGCGCGGTGACAGGTGCAGTGAAATCTCAGGTCAGTCCCACCTCTGTTCACATGACAAGTACCTTATTATGTGCTGTGGAGAAAGAGAAAGGATCATATCTAGGAAGCCAACTAAATACCTCCACATTTAGGTTTCCAGTAATAGGAATGGGATACTGGTTAAAGTCAGGCTCTAGAGGAAGTGGGAATGTCCAGCCTGCAAAATTGTTTGGCATATACATATATCCGCAGTTCCTGACTATCTGTATATATTGATAAATGTCTGGCCTCATATGATGTTATAAATACCCAATGTTCTTTGGAAGAAAAAAATTGATGTTCCTAGACTATTATCTTTGTCTTAAATGTTTTAAATGCCAGGTAAGTGAAAGTGGAAGGTGCTAAATTTAAGACTATAGGAAAATGAGGGTAATCTTGATTATACTATCGGACATTGCAGAAATCCAGAAAAAGCTAAACAACTGGACCCCCCAAGAAGACCTAGAAGCCTTACATCTTTGGGCCTGAGTGTGCTTTACCATTGAGGGGTATGGCCCCTGTGCCAGAGCCTGCTTCTGTGTGTGTTTGTCTGCTGCTTTTCATGGAACCCAATGACTTCATTCTCTACTATCATCTTTTTTCCATCCTGCTGCTTTTTTTTTTCCTAATAACTTCTAAATCTTGTTAACTTTTGCTTACAGTCCTTGCTTCTATTGCTGGCTTTCACTTCACCTCTATTTGTTACTTTCCTAAGAATTGTAACTTCCAATAAAGCTACTGTCACCTATAGTGACATAATATCTAGTACTCAGTGTCTTATCTCCAAAAGAATTTCAAATACAGTACAGATTGAAAAGCTATGTCTAAGAGTACCTGACTACATGAGTTATAGAGATGCATTTGAATCATACTGATTTTGTGTGTGATGACTTTGTTTGCAGTTTAAAATTAGCCATCCTGAGAGTGAAGACCTGGCTTTTCTGTATGGAACTATATTAACAGATGGGAAAGATGCTTACAGTGAGGACCCCACCACCAACATCTGTGTGTTTGCAGATGAACAGGTATTAACACTGCAGTTGTTAGGGACACACACTAGGTACCATGGAACTCAACCACACTGAACATTCCTATCTTTGCTGGTTCTGAAACAGGTTGACAGAAGCCCTACCGGCTCAGGAGTGACAGCGCGAATTGCTTTACAATACCATAAAGGTCTTCTGGGATTGAACCAGACCAGAGGCTTCAAGAGCAGTGCAACTGGCTCTGTGTTCACAGGAAAGGCTGTTAGGGTGAGTGTTACCTTTGCTTATTTGCAAATGAGACTGAACAGTTAATGTTGGATACATTTCTTCCCTCAATTCTTGGATGAGAGTTTTTTGTTTGTTTTTTTAACAATAGTAGGGTTGGAAGTAAGGGCCTTCCACTTGTGAGGGAAGCACTGTACCACTTGAGCCATCCCTCTAGTCCTTCTTGCTTTTGCTTTTGTCACAGTTACTTGTACTTGTTGCTTGAGCCACTCTGGCTATATCTCTCATATATCTGGGATCACATGCATGTACTACTATGTCCTGTTTTTAGCTGACATGGGATTTTACTTTTTTCTGCTGGGCTGGGTTCAAATCAAAATCCTCCTAATCTTCACCTCCTAGGTAGCTGGAATTATAATCAGAAAAACTCTGTGTGTGTGTGTGTGTGTGTGTGTGTGTGTGTGTTATTGTGGTTTGAACTCTGGTTAATGGCATTTGTCAAAGTCACATACTCTACCACTGGAGCCATACTCTGCACATGTTTGCTTTTCAGAAAAAGTCTTGCATGTTTTGCTGGTGCCAGTCTGGACTGTGATTCTACTTATACCTCCCACATAGCCAGGATTGTTTAGCACACCACCACACCCAGTTTTGTTTTGTTTTTAATGGATAAGATCCTTCTGCCCTTTTTCCTGGGCCTGCCTCAAACCATAGTCCTCCTGATTTCTCTCTCTCTCTGCAGTTGCTGAACAGCTAGCCACCACAGCAACCTTGGAAGAAAAATGTGTGTGTGTGTGTGTGTGTGTGTGTGTGTTGGGGTTTGAACTCAGGGCCTGAGTTTTTTTGCTCAAGGCTAGTGCTCTACCACTTGAACCACAGCTCCACTTTCAGCTTTTTGGCGGTTCACTGGAGATAAGTCTCATATATACCACTGGGCGCCAGTGGCTCATGTCTGTAAATCCTAGCTACTTATGAGGCTGAGATCTGAGGATCACAGTTCAAAGCCAGCCTGGGCAGGGAAGTCTGTGAGACTCTCTATCTCCAATAAACAACTAGAAAACTGGACGTGGTGCTGTGGCTCAAGCCATAAAGCGCTCGCCTTGAGCTGAAGAGTGCAGTGACAGCACCCAAGCCCAGAGTTCAAGCCCACGACGACCAAAAAAAAAGAGTCTCATATACTTTGCTGCCCAGGCTGGCTTTGAACCATGATCCTCAGATCTCGGCCCCTTGAGTAACTAGGATTACAAGTGTGATCTACTAATCACCAGGCTAGGTAGAAAAAAAAATTAGAGCAGACCTGTAAAAACTATTCGAATTTGATAATATTTCTTGGGATCCCTGGGGATCCCAAGTCAAAACTATGTTCATAATAATATTACGAGGTGTTTGCTCTTCACTCTCATTCTCTCAAGAGTGTTCAATGGAGTTCTCCAGAGGCTACATGCTGGCAACATCCCAGCCAATTGAAGGCAGAAGTAGCTTGGAAAACCTAGCTATCTTCTGTTAGGAAAGAGATTTGCATATGTGTAAAACAATGCCACTTTTGTTATTACTTTTTTGGAAATACTTATTTTCACAAAAATTTAGTTTTTATATATTAACATGTAGAGGCTTTTCAGATGAAGCAATGAATAAACATCTTTATTCCTAGTACAGTAAATATTGATAGATACAACTATATACATAAAAACCCTTTGGAGGTCCCCAAATCCAAAGGTAGAGAGTGGACCTGAGACCAGAAGATTTAAGAACCACATAAACAAGAATATGGTTACTTTTTGTCTTATGTTTTATTCTGTAGTAATATTTCATTTTATAGAATAAGAAGTAAAGGTGCCAGGCGCTGGTGGCTCAAGCCTGTAATCCTAGCTACTCAGGTTGCTGAGACATGAGGATCATGGTTCAAAGCCAGCCTGGGCAGGAAATTCTGTGAGACTCTTATCTCCAATAAACCACTTGAAAACCGGAAGGTGGTTCTGTGGCTCAAACGGCAGAGTGCTCACCTTGAGCTGCGCCCAAGTCCAGAGTTCAAGCCCCATGACCGACAAAAAAAAAAAAAAAAAAGATATAAAGGTGTAAAAAGTTGAAGAAAATTATAACTTTTGTAATGAAATAAAAATTTATATATATCAACAGAGCTAATTATTGTATCTGTTTATAGTAGATAAATGAAATCTACAGAATGAATCTACATTGAACAAATAAATCGCACTAAGAACCCTTTAACATAGCAGTCTATCCAAATGTAGCTTTTTAAAAGTTTTTTAAGAAAATATATTGGATTTCCTTTTCTTTCTTTTCACTTTCTTTTCCTTTCCTTTTCTGTTTTTAATGCCTATCCCAAGGCTAGAACTCCCCTCATACTCTCGCTTAGCTTTTTGTTATGGCTGGTGCTTTACCACTTGAGCCATGCCCCTATGTAGCATTTTGCTGGTTAGTTTAAGATTGAGTCTCATGGACTTTTCTGCTCTGGACAGCTTACAACCACAATCCTCTAAAATAGCTAAGATTACAGGAGTGTGTCACTAGCACTCAGCTTGAATTTTCTTTACATTAGATCTTTCTGTATCACAAAGCAATCATGCAATTTTCTAAACCATTTATGTTGTAAACAGGAATTTAGAACACTATGTCCTCAGAATCTGACATTTAAGATAAAGATAAGCCAGGTATTGATGGTACTTGTCTAGGAGGTACTTGCACTCAAGAGGCTGAGGTAGAAACATCACAAGTTTGACTGCAGTCTGAGCTACATAGTTTCAGGTCAGCCTGAGTACATAGTGAGACTCTGTCTCAAACCAACCAACAAAATAGTAATAATGTATGTATTTGTTAGGTAATTTACTGTGTCAATTTCTAAACCAAGAACTTCATACAAACATCTCATTTAAACATTACTAGAATACCAAATCAGTACTGTTCTCATCCTCTTTCAGAGATGATAAATGAAGAACGTTAGAAAGGTTGGGTAATTTACCAGAATCTACTCAGTGAGCAGCAAAGCAAGACTATGCATGTGGTTCCCTCACCAGACCTTTTCCTTTTAAGAACTGCTTTTATATTGTCACCAGACAAAACAAAAGCTCCTGAGGCTTGATATTATAACAGTTTTATAAAAAGTAAAATTACTCTACCCTAATTTAATATTTGACATTTTATCCTTATATGCAGTCATTCTTAAAAATTACAAAATAAAACATCCTGCAGGTAAAATGTCCAAGCATGGTATTAATCATGCTTACCAACATCTTCACTTGCACACACACCTGCTGTCTGTATGGCCTTTTCTGGGCTCTCTGACCATGTCTTTTCAGTCTCTTTCCCTGTCCTAGTTTTTGTTTCTGGCCTTCCAACTACATGTCTCCAGCCTTTCATCTTCAGCTTCCTTCTCATCTCATCTACAGTTGGATGTCACTGGGCATTTTCATCATTTTCTAGGCTTATTCTTATCTACTGCCTACTCACATACCTTCATCATTACAGTGCCTATCCTGTACCAATTGCTGAATCTACATGTTTTCTATAGTCATCTCTAAATTCTGTCCACAAAGCATCACAAACTCTAACCCATGAAAAAATCCTCCCTTCTTCTCTCCCAATCTCCCTTCTTCTTTCCCTTCCTCCTTCATCTTGATTAATGCCATCGCTAGTATCACGGCCAAGCTAGAAACTATGGTCATGTTTAACTGATTCCTAATTCCTTACTTTCCACACTGTCCTGGGTCAACAGGCCAGTTAGTTACACCTCCTAATTCTTTATATTAGTTCTCCTCCATCATTACCAAAAACTACCTAGTGACTCTGGATTCAATCAGTGAGTCAAGGCTACCTCTTAAGTTTCTAGGCTTCTAGTCTCTTTCTTCTCTAATTTGTCCCCCCATTTTCCAACCTAATTTAGCTTAAACTCACTTGACCATGTCACTGTCCTTTAAAATCTCTCATTGCCCATGGGACTAATGCTTGGGCTTTTCTTAGCATGATAAGAATCAAGAGTACAACTTTAGACCAGGTAAAATGTGGACGCAACATTTTGAGAGTGTGCTCATTCCATGTTGCTTTCTCAGGAAGCAAAGTGTGGTGACTTTAAAGCTGTGGTAGTGGAAGTGTCGGGACGAGCCCATTACACGGGGGCTGCGAGCATGACGGTGGAGGAGGATGATCCACTGAAGGACGGCTTTCTTCTCAAGTGACCTCTTCCATGATTGTGTGGGCTTTCCTTCTAAAGGTCCTTATCTATAAGTAACATTGTCTCTTAATGGTGTAAAAACCAATGTCTGATATGCATGTAAGCTAATTTCCATTCTGTCTAAATTCCACACTGTGGCTAAATAAAAAGTCATTATAACTCCAATTTTCCAATTTATTTGGTATGTTTAGTATACAAACTGCTAAAAATTCAGGAACTTTTCCTAGTTATTAACCTATCAGATAAAATGAAAACCTATATTACTTTAAAAACATGACTCTATGGTAATGACTACAGTATGTTATCTTAAAGGCGCTTTGAATAATACCTGTAATTATAGGACTTACAACGATGAAATCCACAAGCTTATCATTCTGCTGTCTAACTTGGAGCAAAAATGTTCTCAGTAAGCTGCATGGTAGTCAGATGGAGTACTGGAAGGTTCTCAATACTTGGCATACCTAGGCTTGGAAGGATGAGCCGGGGTGTTGACATCTTTGAACAGGCACACTGTATTTTAGCGGTTTGTAGGATGGCCTCTGAGTTACAAAGCCCAGCTTCTATATTCATTGGAACCTATGTGCTATAAATAGATACAAAGACCAAATGCTAATCAAATTTTTGCTATCACTTTAAGGCTTTAAAAAAAATCATGCTGGGAATTGAACCCAGGGCCTCATTCCCATTAAACATACAGTCTCTCATGAATGTGCCTCTAGTTTCTTTAAAGCTTTTATAAAAAGACTTGCATACTATATTATTGAAAAACAATAAGACAGTAGAAATCAATCCATGAGCCCAGTGCTGGTGACTTATTTTGGTATCTCCAAAAATCACCAGCAAAAAGCAAGGAAGGAGGCATGGCTCAAGTAGTAGAGGGCCAGCCTAGCAAGCTTTAAGCCCTAAATTCAAACTACAGTACTTCCAAAAAAAACAAAAACCAAAAGAAACTAATCAGTGAATCATTACCAAGAAGTGAATCTCATACTCTATCACCATAAACTAAGTACATTCAAAACATAAAATGTTCACTAGTGCCTTCTTACTAATTGATACTTCCACATAAACATGTAAAAAATAGTATTTGATCATTGTCAATTATAAGTGAAAACATTAAAATACTCTCTTTTATTATGTGAATTCAGTAGACTCTTTTGTTAGATAAGCTACAGTATACAAAATAACAGTATGCAAAAGAATCCTTAACTGGATATATACACATATATCCATACGTCATATGTGTGTGTGTCATTTTTTTCAAGGGCCTAGACCTCAAGTCCATATTATCTGACAATATATGAAATATATATATATATATATATATATATATATACACATACATAGAGAGAGAGAGAGAGAAAGTGTTTGCTGGTCCTGGGGCTTGAACTCAGGGCCTAGGCACAGTCCCTGCGGGTTTTATTGTCCAAGGCTAGTGCTTTACCACTTGAGCCCTAGCTCCATTTTTTGCTTTTTGGTTGTTACTTGGAGGTAGGAGTCTCTGAGATTTTCCTACCCAGACAGGCTTCAAACTATGATCCTCAGATCTCAGCCTCTTGAGTAGCTAGAATTACAGGCATAAGCCACTGGCACCTGGCTTGGTCATATACATTTTTAACAGCACATATCACCCTGTTACACATTTATGTTCGCCTAATACTGTAAGCCTCTTGGGACCAGGATTCATTATTTCATTTCCTAAAACTAAACATAATATTAGAAGCTTATATTCTATTTTTTTGTCTTGAGTGACTCTTATCTGGGGATTTTTCCCTGAAGGGGAATTTGGCAATTTCTGAGACATTTTTAGTTGCCACAATTGAAAGAGGTGCTCCTGAGTTGGGTAGAAGAGGACAGCTCCCGCACAATTATCTGTTCTCAAAAGTCAACAGTCTTGAGACGGAAAAAGCTTAAAGGTACTTAAAGGTACCTTAAAGGTACTTCCCTTTCACTTCACTGAAGCAAGCATTCAAAGGACTAATCGAAAACAGCAGTGGGCCAGAAGTGTGCTAGTCATTCTTTAAAATGGTGTTTCTCACACTTGTGTGTCAGCATCTCCTGGAGGGCTTCCCACAGCATCCACCAAAAGGCTGGGTACCTCCCCCAGAAGGTCACATTCAGTCAATCAGGGTCGGGCCTGAGAATTTGCATTTGTGGAAATTCCTAGTCATGCTGATGCTGCTGGCCCACTGTCCACTTTCCCTAGGCAGCCACATCTGTCCTGCTCCTGTGTCTCCATGCTGGGTATCTGGTGCTGTGCCTGTGATGGTTTGGCTGGCAGCACCTTAGACAACACATGCCACGATCCTGAGATCAGATGGAAGACTGCAGCAGGATAGGCTAGGAATCAGCGTCCTCAAAACCCCTGTTTCAGAATAGACTTAGAGGCCCACTCCCAGGAACGCCGGGAGTCAGCCAGAGAGGCCATATTTTCACAGGGTCTCTCAAATTGTGGTTCTCGGACCAGCATTTATCATCACCACCTATGCGCATTCTTGGACAGTAACCCTGATCTACATCATCTGAAATGGAGACTGAGGCCCTCTGTGCTTTGCTTTTGCACAAGCTGGACAGAGACTGGTTATAATCAGTCTCCCTCTCAAGTTTAGGATCTCACAGTGTGAATTTTCACTTCGGGGTCTAGATTCCTTTCCTACCAGCATACGCCAAAATCACCCATGGGAAGTAAGCAAAGCCTCCTCTCTGAGGCCATCCTCTAGGCCATGGGTGCCCAACAGGAAAGTAAGACTGCACCATTGTGCCTGCGCATTTGTATGCTGGTGGTGTCATTCTTTCCAGCTGGGCTTAAGAAGGTGGACTTGGCGGCTGGCACTCCGATGCCCAGATCGATCCCTGGCCAAGAAACTTTGGGGCGGGCGGTGGGAGCAGGTGTGTGTGGGGAGGGGTGTCATGGGCTGGCTTTTCTGGGGTACAGGGCTGGCGTCCCGCCCCGCGTTCCCTGCGTAAACACGCGGTTCCCTCGGCAACGCCTGGAACCCACGTCAAAGGATCGGCCGGGTCCCGGGCGACCTCCACCCCTCGGGGGGCCCCGGCGGAGCCTGACTCCCCGCCAGGGGCGCCCCACCCCGAGCCACGTCCCTGGCCCAGCCGCCGCCTCTCCTCCCGAGTGCGGGATGAACAGACCCGCGGCCGCCGCCGCGGGGCCCCATGGAGGAGCAGCCGGCTCG